TTATAAATTCCTGTATTTTTCTAATCTTACTTTTATTCTTTGTGTATTCATTACTTGTATTCTTATTATTTATATATTCATTTGTAATCGGATGAACTTGATGGAGAATTGTTGATCATAACATGCATCTCGCATGTTCGTAATACGTGCACCACAATTGTGGAGTATGAAGTACAGAGAATGTGCGGGGAATATGACGCCGATATGTTGCTTGCGTATGTAGTGCGCACATAAGTGTTTCTTATTCATAGAATTGCAGGGACGATTATTCATTTAAATTATTCAAGAAGGAAGGGTATTTAGTTTTGAAAATAAAAAAACGATAATATATTGATAAGGAAGAGACACATGATCCGAAAGAGGAGTCGAAATATCATATATTTTTGCTAAAATAAAAAATAAATGGGACATTTGCTAGAAATGAATGTTTCCTTTATCGAATTTTAATTATTCTTATAGCTCAAGTAAATACACGTGACTTGCTGTGTGATCTCAAAAAAAAATTATATTGTTCATTCTTTATTTCTTGCCTTCAAATGATTTACATGTCTTTGTAATATTTTGTTATAGCTATTTGTTTCATTTGCTCTGAATAGTCATTCTCACTTTCTTCATAATAGCAAGGTATTTTGTATGAGCTTTAAGGCTTTGGAATACTTTAAAAGTCCCTAAATCCTTGTATTCCCGTAAACGGAAAAGTTTTACGAATATGGAAGGTTGAGACTGAAAGCTGCTAACCTGGAATTGACAAATCGATATGATTTCTTCATGTTTGTGTCGTATATTGTAAAAATGTTGTTTGCATGTTAGGAGATAAGCGGATGTATTAGCGGGTGATATTTGAAGAGATTAGTCATGTCATTACTACTGTTTTTTTTGTACTGTTCTAGCAAGTTAAATTTTTTGAAACGCTCTTGTGAAAATTATTTTGAGTTTCAATCGTACAAAAATGTTTAGTGCAACAAATAGGGACCTTAGGTGGTTCACGATTACGCTGTTAAACTCATTTTTCTCAGCTAATTATAACAGTTTATGAACTTTTCCAACGAAGTTATTTTGGAAAATATTACTTGATGGATTTCCAAGGTTTAGCTGGGTTGCAATTTATAGGGTGGGGAATGTTTCGTCTCATCCTAGAGTACATATATATGTATATATATATTATATATATATATATACATATATATATATATATATATATCATCCTAGAACATAGTTTAATTTTTGAATTCGTATAAATTAAAACTCAGCTGATCCTTTTCTAGACAAGGACAAGATTTTACTGTCCTCCAAACTTATGACTTACTTCGGCGATTGCAATGATTTCACAATGTTTCCTTACATTTTCATTTTCTCTTATTTAAATGGGCAGAAATCTGATTACAAGAGATATTGTATAGGTCGTTCTTACTCGCCAACTTACTCGTTTGTGCATGTTTGGAATTCGCTTTTTGTTATATTATGAACTTTTTCAAAATTTCTTTAAGCTTGGGCAGTTGAGTTTGGTACGCTACCACTTCTGTGCTCACTACAAATCTGCTTTTTTGATGAGTTCCCCTACGGTTTTTCAGGTAGCTTCTTGTCTGAAAGCTTTTTTTCATTACTTCAGTTTATGTGAACATTAGATTCCGATTCTTGAACTTAGCTTTGCCATGAATGCTAATGCTCAGATCTTTATCCAGTACGGGTACTTTGAAATCAAGTCGGGGCCTTGAAAGCATATTTAGTCGTTTCAGTGCCTTCACTTAGAATTATCTGAGAGAACAGCTTACCAAACATGGATCAGCGAGACATTTCATGAGGAGCCACCTATTGCGGTCTACCTCTAGTTTGTTAACTTATTGTATCGAACTAAAATTTTTGTTTGCAATTTTCGATTTGTGCTGAATAGCTTAAATAATATTATATGAACATACAGTGTGCTTTCACTTCTTATTTAGAATTTTGAAATCAAATTATTTGTGCTTTACATATGTTTATGAATACACTTTTGTATCTTGTTATTGTTTTTATGACAAAGACGCCTTATTGTTCTTGCAAATTGGTCGCTGCTGCTCTATTCCACTCATTTCCTGTAGTGTAATTAACTGATAAAACAATTCAAATACTTTAGCGAAGACGAAAACTTCTCCTGCTGTTGTATTCTGATAACGGCATAGTTACGCCATTTAAATCTATTTATGCTTTCAAGTAATTTATTGCTGCCTGCTGTAATTGTTTACGTGAATGTTATGCGATAAAAGTGTTTATTGTTCCTGATGTATTTTTTACTGTCAAAAAGTAGAACCGTTATAATCGTGACGTCTTCTGTTTTCGATTCAATGATGGTGGCGTGATCTGAATGTACCTTTCCTTCCTAATATTCCAGCTTTTAGTAATAAATATTATCGTAAACGTTGCTGTTGACGATGTCATGTAAATTACCCATTTCTACAGTTCGTAGAACCGAATCGAATAAGTTTCTCCGGTATTTTATATTCAGGTTTTTATATTCATGTGACATTAATGTTTATGATTTTATGTGCAGCAAAAGAAATGATGTCTAAAATCAAAGTTTGTTTAGAAGAGATTAAGTCTGCAGGGACAACATATCGTTCCTAACGTGTTGCTTATATTTTGGTTTGACATAAGATCTGATTTTCCAAATTTAAAAAATTCGGGGCCTTTCAATCATAATGCATTTTAACTTTCCAAAACCTCCTTGCTTCATAGCTTACGGAAATTACCAAACATTATTCAAGGAAATGTCAATAAAATATACAGGTGGAAGTAGGCCTAATACCTTAAAACCTTATAGCTAATGAATGATGTATTTGAATACACCGGTTGACAATCTAACATCTTTTGTGTTCAAGGACTACAACGTAAGAATTCCAAAAATAGTTACTATTGGGATGATTCAATGGTATAAAAAAACAAGACAAAGTGCACTGAATGCAGAAGTTGAGTCTGATATTAGTAAAATTTTTCAAAAGTGAACAAAATGGTTCAGCTTTTCAAACAAACGATTGGAATCATTAATGGTTGAGCTTGTAGTATTACTGACAGCGAGAATCCATACAAATAACTCTTAAGCTGTAAATTAAAAATCTAATGGATTAAACATATAAGTTATCTTTTCTTCCTTTTAGTTCTTCCTATCGACAAAACCTTTTAATGATTCATGAAACTGTAAATGCATACAAATATGCGAGATGGTGGAAGAACTGGTAGGAACTTTCTTGAGAAACGGGTGTTTCCAAGTAGAACTTATGTTTGTATATGTATAGCCCAAAAGTAACAGATTAATCTTCTCCAGCAGTTTGCTAACTAAAAAATTTCCAGCTTATTGTTTCTCTCCAAAAGCAGTCAGTTAGTTTTGCAAAATTTCCAGAACGACTTCGTAATGTATTTGTAATTCACAAAAGATGCAAAGCACTGGTAACGGAAGATTCAAGGATGGAGAAATACAGGGAAAAGACCTGTATACGCCAGAATTTTAGGTCCGAAAAGCAGAGACTTATAAAGTGAAGTCGGTTATAGCGGAAAGAATTTAAAATCCCAAGAAAGAAGGCAACCTAATACATATTCCCTATCTTCTCCCAATTGGCCCTGACTATTTATGGCCTAGTACAGCTAGAAAATAGCTAGCAGATGACTTCACAATCTTCTTGCTAATGTTACGTAATGTCAACAAATTAGTTGTCATTTAATCAAAATATTCAACAAAAAACAAGAAAGGGAGGATTACTGCAACGATTTTTATGTTCTCAAACTTCAAAAATTATAAGAATGTATCAAATCTAAAGCAATATGGCCTGTTTCCTTTTGTGAATTCATCACAGAAAGTTCAAGTTCGAAAACATATTCCAGCGATCGATCAATTCCCATTTCATATATCAACATACCCGATAATTCCAATGGCAGAGCAAAACATGACCATTTATATGTTCAGTTCCTGACTGAAATAGAAAAGGATCATCATGGAGCGTATATATGAGCCAACATTATATAGCTAAGGGAAGAGCACCTGTCTAGAGATCAAAACACTGTTCCCTAATTTAAGAACCAATCATCGGTATATCAATTTATTGCACTGATATTTGGGGAGATGACCGAGTCCCATAATTTATATATTTTGAATTTCACTTGGTATATTATCCAAACTTGTCCAAAATAAAGACTTTAAAAATTATAACAGAAGATGTAATGTTTGCGGAGACTGTTAGAGAAGTGTGAGAACCAGAACTCAGGAGCCAAATGACCAATCGCTAAGAGTGCAGACTTTTTTTTTCGTTTTGTACGAAACTTGACAAAAATTAGCACAGTGTTTATAAGCAAGTGTTATACGTCGATGTATGCGAAGATAAAGCGTATGTAATTAATTCAAATCTTGATATTTCTGCATTTTCATTCAGACCAGAAGTGATTACAGTTGACCCCGTCCAGAAAACCTCCCCCCCTCCCCCCGCCTCTTTTTCAACAAACCCTCATGAGATTAGACAGTCACCATCCTGAAAGTACCAGGATAAACGGCTCGGCCACTGGACTGATTTCGCTTCCTATACGGCAGCGATGTCTTGGCTTGTCAGGTGGCTTGACCTAACCAGTAGCGTTGTACGTCGGATTACTTCTTCGGCGTATATTTATACCACCCATTCGACATCTGATTACTGAGTAGTCGTGGTCATAATTTCCATATAAGGAGGAACATTTTGATGATAAATTTCCCATCAAAAATTACAAACGTTTTTCTTCAATGGCATGTACTTTATATTTCTTTAACTGATAACTGAATAGTCATGTAAGGAGGAAAATAACAGTAATACCTTAAAATTCTGTTTGACATATGCGAAAGACATTAGTGTATAGCCGTTTTGACATATGAAATATGAAATAGTCATCCTTTTTTGTCAAATGTACGAATTTTCAGTTTCAAGTTAAATCGTTTAAGATTATGCAGTGAAGAGATTATGGCTATAATACATGTCTATGGAATCCTGCCATCACAATAATTATTTGTTGTAGGATGGGAAAAACATCCAAAGACAAGCGAGATATATATTATCGGTTGGCGAAGGAAGAAGGGTGGCGAGCCCGCAGTGCGTTTAAGTTAATGCAAATCGACGATGAATTTAATATTTTTGAAAGTGTGAATTTTGATTATTTAAGTTTTCAAATACAAAATGAACAAAGCTTTTTCGAAAGAAGCCCAAAGAGATTAATAACATTTTGTAATGTTCATGATATGGTTAGGTTTCTGTACATTAATAACGCCAGATTTGCCCTGAAATCTATCCATTCAGCGCAAAGTTGTGTGGAGAGTGGTGGTAAGTTTGGCAATCATCACACATTTGCCTGATTAATAAGCCATGTTTTTAAGCCAGATATTTAAAATGGTCTGTAATATATTCCAAAAGTCTCATTACTCAGGTTTTATAAGTAAGTTTGAATGTTAAATTAAATATAATAATTTGAAGACTGACATTAAGATCTCATATCTGACTTATCTTTATCGCCATATTCTGATGTCCTTGAGAAGAGCATAAAGGAAGTAAAATTTAGTGTGGGTTATGAATATTTTCAGGAAAATGAATTCAAAACTTTGGACCTCACCTGATATTTCTTTTAATATCTCATAAAAGTGACTGTTTTCCTACAATCTTTCTAGATGTTCATCGTGTTGTTGATTTATGTGCTGCACCTGGTAGCTGGAGTCAAGTTTTATCAAAAAAAGTGTATTTCGCGGAGGACGAAGGAAGGCGGAAGGATGTGAGTTCTGCAGTCCTATTTTTTTCTAGCAATGAAGATTACAATTTCGGAAATACAAATTTTATTTTACCAATCAAGTGTGCTTTTTTTTTCTCCCAAAACATATACATACTTTTAAATTGCAGATACGTATAGTCGCTGTCGATTTGCAACCGATGTCACCACTTCCTGGTGTAATCCAACTTCAAGGTGATATAACTGAGGTTGTTCGCTTTTTGCACGAACCTGTTAGACCTTTGGTTTCTTCACATACTTTTTCCTTCCCTGAAGATTACGTTTTTAAAATTGATATTTTATAACTTCCAGACTTCTACGGCCGAAAAAATTATCTCTTACTTCGAAGGATTGAAGGCTGATTTGGTTGTTTGCGATGGCGCTCCCGATGGTAATATTTAGTATTTGTTTAGATCTAAGTTTGAAATTATTTATAATAATTTCTTTCTTTATTACGTTAGGCTCAATTATTTCAGTAACCGGGCTACACGCACTAGACGAATACATGCAAAGTCAACTTGTTTTGGCAGTAAGTCAGTCAGTAAAATTCAAAGTTATTATCATTGCTGTATGAACTTATTTCGAGTTATTATTATTATTTCGAAGAATTTTTTCAAGATTTGTTGTGTTTATCAATTTTTAAATCGAAAAGTAAATTAATTTGAAACCGCCATTTTAGGCGTTGAATATTGCAACGTTTGTGTTAAAAGAAACAGGGACCTTTGTTGCTAAGGTTTGTTCGATTGCTGAAAATTCTTCCGAGTTATTTTGTGTTCAAGCTATTGCACTACTGTTTGAAATAGCGAAATTTGCAAATTTTCGAACGTAAAAGTTTGAATTTAGGTATTTCGTGCACGTGACATTACACTGTTATATGCTCAACTGAAAATTTTTTTTAAAGAGGTCTATTGTGCTAAGCCACGGAGTAGCCGACAAAGTAGTTGTGGTGAGAAAAATTATTTTCCATTTTTTGTCTGTTTCATCTTTCCAAGAGTAGAACCATTGCATGAGAATGCATTGTAAATCTGAATGAAGTTTGTTTCTAATTTCAGAAGCATTTGTTGTTTGTAAAGAATTCAACTTACCAAAAGGATATACACCAACAATGAAAAATCCAATGTTATGTCCAGACTATGGTAAGTAGGAGGTTACCTTCCAAAACATTTTCCCAAATGTTAAAGCACATCAAGTTAGTCATTACGTCAAATCACATTAAGTAACTTATATTAAATTAGTTAACATTATTTTCTGATTGTCGTCTAACTTTTAATTAGAACAGGCTTCAGTTTGAACAGTGGTTTCAGATGCGGAAGTGAACAGTTTATTGGGATCCAACCGCCTTTTGGTGCCCTTCCTTGCCTGCGGCGATTTGTCCGGTTGGGATTCCGACCGGACATACGAGCTGGAATTACCGAATTTTTCGGGTGAAGCAGAGCGGAGAAGATACGAATATAAGCCAGTTGTGCAACCTCCTACGGAACCTGCCTACAAAGTAAGGTCCCATCAAACATTTTTGAGCTTTCTCTATTAGCGGAAAATTCTTTCTAATTTCAGAAAGCATGTGCCTTGAAAAAATCTGGTAAACTTGCTAGACCTGAGATGGATGATCCATTCTTGAAATGTGATGTCCCAACTCGGAAGAAAGCAGTGGACAAAAGGGAATCGGATTCTACTGGAGATTTAGGAATTGGCGATGAGTTAGCTGAAGCATTTGCGGAATGCTTTGTTTTAATGATTAGTGTTGGTTAATTGGTAATGGGGATTCGAATAATATATTGATTGTATTTGGAATAAGCTGTTCCTTTTTCATAAGTAGTTTTTCTTCAAAGCTGCCATTTTTGTTCATTCGGAACATTTGATTGCCTCAGGTCACCTTAAAAATCTTTTTTTGATCAGTTCCAAGTGTACTTCCTGACCACTGAAATACACTTTCTTAAAGCGGTTTGTTTTGCATTTGAAATTGCATCTTGTACAAACTTCTGAACTTCGGAAATATTCGCATTAAAGCTATTTTCTTCCATGATTGTTATTATCTTTATTCTTAAATGGAATCCTTCCACTAAATTTTGTCGTGCTGATATTTGAATAATTAATTTTTTTGAAATGTTCATACACGTTTCATATAATGCTTAACATCAACTTTCATGGTGTTGCTAATCAAGCCGTCCTGAAAATTAAACCAAAGATACCGGCATTTAGAAACATCGAGCTATTGCTTCCTGGGCGGCCTTTTTTAATTATTGGATAAAAGGGAGTGAAAAAATAGCGCAACAAAGAAAGACGGTATTTCTTATTGAATAATAGTATCTATTACATGGTTGTCGTGAATTAAATTAGGGAGTTTTGAGATGCAAGGGAACGAGTCTGCTTGTTGAGGGATCTCTGAAATATATTGTTTTGGCAAGTTTTTAATGTAATGTTGTAGTGCGGATGAGGCTATGGAATAAATTGTTTTCCGTTCCTCGAGAAGCTGCAATGAAATATCGACCACTCATTGGTTTAGAAATACATGCTCAGATAATAACCAGGTTTCCCAAAGACCTTTTTTTAAAAAAAATGATGCGTGGTGCAGCGTCACTTGTTTTTATTAAATTTTGAGTATTTCAAAAGGACTGACATGGTTTTGTCATGTCGCTTCTGTTCATTATTCTCTACGATCAGGATCGGTTACATGATACAGATTTGATGTAGTGACTTTCTGTACTTTTTTCTGCTTTAAATTCAAGATATGGCAAATCGCGGAAGGTGAAAGTTCAAGAGCCCGTGATTGAATATGATGAAAGTTAGAGTAGGACTGTGTAGTTAATTAACAAGAGCAGGGTAAGTCAGAAGCAAAACTGCTAAGAAGGTAAAAAAAAAATGATAACTATCTTGAATGATTTTTAATAATTTTTATAATTGTCCTTATGCTAAAAAAGTGCCTGGTTTGCTTTTATTATGTAATAGAATAGTTGACACATAGATCTTTTAACTATTAAAATTGTTATAATAGTTTACAGGCATGTATAACTTTCAGAACGAAGTTGTTCTCAGCGGCAGCATTTGATGATGACGCCCATGCAAATTCATCTGTAGCACTGTTCGATATGGCAATTCCTGGTACTCTTCCTGTCCTTAACAAAACTGCCCTAATGGTTAGTGTCTTACTCAATGATATCTTATTCGTGACTTGCTTTTATGACTCGTACACACCGATAATTGTTGTCTGGATGCACGAATAATATCCAAGAACTTGCTAAACAACAGAAATACTGCGATAAAAAACCGGAATGTTGAAAATGCAGTTGAAGAGTATATAAGGTCAGTGCAGAACAACCGATTGGTGACTGTGGGAGTTATACAATGAAATACAGTCATTCGAACGATTCATTCAGCGGTGTTGCGCAATTTCCTAATAAAATTGGGCATACACCTGCAGATAAGACTCTAATCCTAAAAAGTTAGGCAATGTTCGCAAGAAATGCCTGTTATGTAATATATTTTCTTCCTGTTGACTGTAATATGGATAGTTTTCTGGAAACATGAAACCCGTGAGTATTATGTTTTTTACCTTCATGGATGGCATACAAATAAATTAAATAAAACCGAGTTAGTTTAATTAATAAAACGCAAATGAAACAAAGCAGGTGCATTTAATATGTCTTTTTTCTTTCAGAAGGGTATAACAGCGGGTTTGCTGTTAAACTGTACGATACCGGAAAGATGTCAGTTTGTACGCAAACATTATTTCTATGCAGACATGCCGGCTGGTTACCAGATCACTCAGCAAGACCATCCTATTGCTCATTCTGGTTTCTTTGAATTTTACGTCCACTGTAATGATGAGGCAAGTCTTTTTTGACTTAGTTATTTTTAATTATTATTTTAGATTCTTTCACTTTGTATATAGCAAAAATTGTATTCGTTATAGTCATTTGTCCCGTATAAAAAGCGTGTGGATATTCTAAGAATTCAACTGGAACATGACAGTGGCCGTACAATTCACGATTTCAGTAACAATCGCTCATTGATCGATCTCAACCGAGCCGGTAATAATAGTCTTTTTCATATTTCATTTTTTTTTCTTTTTGTAACACTACAAAGTTAAAAGTGAAGTTTGTTTTCAGAGTTTTCAGAAAAGTTATTTTGCAGGAGTTGGATTATTAGAAATAGTGACCTCGCCATCTATGAATTCCGCATTAGAAGCTTACTGTTTCACTCAACAGCTACGTCTAACTCTCATGGAAAATAGTTTGTGCGGAGGAGAAATGCAAAGTTAGCATTTCCATCATACTAAAAATTTCTCCTTGTCTGTCTCTCGCCAATAGTTAAACAGTAAATTTTTTTTTTTAGTCTTTTTATTATACTGCGAAGTTGAAAGTGAAGCTTACGCTTAGTACGTAAAGCTTTTAAAGAAGAAATAGCTGTTTAAAAAGGATTTGTTGAAGAGGCTCAATTTCGAGTGGATGTCAATATTTCACTTGGCAAAAATAATAGCGATGATAGAAGTGTTCGGACGGAGATTAAAAATTTAAATAGTTTACGCATGGTGCGTACAGTTGTCAACAGCGAAATAGATCGGCAGTACGAAATTCTAAAAGCTGGAGGCACAGTACTGAATGAAACACTCACTGTTGACCGCGATGGGTTAGTTGTTTGCGTTTTTTGATTCTATCGGGAATTGTTATTTTTTTCTGCCATAAATTATTTTTTGGTACTATGAAAAGATTTCTGAAACTGCTTGTTTCAAACGGACGATACATTCCAGCCATACGATAGCAATGAGAGAAAAAGAAATTGAGACGGATTACCGTTTTATGCCAGAACCCAACCTTCCTCCTGTACACATTAAACGAGAATGGATAGAGAATTGTCGTTCAATGCTATCGAAACCGCGCTATTTGAAGAACATAGAAGAATATGGCATGGAGCCGGAAGTTGCATTGCAAATTGCTGTGAGTTATTATTCAACTTACACATGAAATAGAACCAGAAGTCGTTTTTAACTTCGAAGGGATGTAATTAGCCAAGACCTGCCAGGACAAATGGCGACAAGATTCTGAAGCCAAAACGTTTCTTAATATGCATTTTGGTAAAACTACCATATGTACGTATTTCTTGCATATATATTTTATTCAGATCACCTGACACAATTAAAAATTTTTACATTAGATAAACCATGACAGTAAAATACATTTTTTAATTTTGGAGCAACTGGTAAAGGCAAATTTCGTTTGGATTTCAATTTTGTATATGAACTTTTCTCTTTAGAATCAAAAAACCCTGGCAGCATTTGTTGAAATGGTTTTAAATACATGTAATGATGCTACAATGGCTTCAGTATTTGTTGAATGGACTTATCTGTTGCAAACAATTTGTCGTAACTGCAACAAAAGATTCCCCTCATCACGGTAAACTTCTACTTTTTTCTATAAATTCCATATAAGATACTATACTCTAAAGTTCATTCACTAACTTTATTTATTTATAGATCTGTCGATGTTGGCTTTTTTAAAAGATTTTTTATAAATTTTCGTACAGTACATATTCAGTTTTTTTTCCTTTTTTTTTCCAGAACGGTTTTTGTAAATCATTTCGTGGAAGTGGTACATCTTTATCACACTAAACGGTTAACCAGGCTAACAACTTTTGATCTATTACGAAGATATGTAGAAACGGAGTTAGACAAATCGGCAACTGAGGTATTGATTAGTTTGGAATGATCAAATTCTTTATCACATGATAAATACGCCGGAAATTCATTTAAAAATTTTTTTTTATATTTCCAATGGAAGGAAAGCAAAAGAAATATTTTCGTGCCATAAAATTTAAAGTTTTTATTCTTTTCAGATTATAAATAACGAAAATTTATGGCGAGTACAAGACAAAGATGAAATCATGCAAATTGTGGAGAAGGTTGTTCGTGAAAATGACAAACTTGTCATAAAAATACAGAAAAGTGGAGCGAAAAGACATATCACTAAATTGCGAACAGCTGTACTTAATGAATGTAATCGACGAATTGAAGCTGATGAAATAAGTGAAATAATTAGACAAAAGCTTTTACCAGGAAGCTAACGGCGCACTGAAATGTTTCGTAATTGGTGACTTTTGTGCTGATTTATGCCAAATTGTGACCACAAAAAGGAGTTTTCGTACCCTTGGCATGTAACTTATTGCGTACTGAAATACAAATGAGTCCAGTATCTCAGGACTGAATCATCTTATAAATCAACATCTTGACGAAATAAAGCTGTATATTCGATTTCTGCCGAAAATTTGAAAATTTCATTGGCTATTTCTGAGAGTTCGATGATGTCGGTAATTTAGTTGAGAAGTATGAATGCATGAGTGGTGGTGCACAAATAGCTGATACTAGTACCGCTAGCAGGGCGCTGTTGAAATAATAGGAGACATGAGTGAAGAGTGAGACAACATGGAGATGGGCATGGAGGAGGACAAGATCGATGTGTTGTCGCCGTGTGCTTTTTCGACGCATGACTATATTCTCAGTCAATCCATTCCACAGAGTTGCTTCATGTTCTGCTCCTTACTAAATCCATCTATATATGACTAAAGCACTCCTCTGTAATGGCATAGGTTAGACTTAGCCTTGCTAGAACAACAACAGAAGCTAGCTAGATTGCATTAGCAGTTCCAAAACATAGCACATAGCATCTATAAACATTTCTTCTCGAATCTACCCTGCAGATGCCTAACAATCCATCCCACAATATAAAGGGGAGAGAGAGGGTAAAGGGATGTGTCATTCAGGTTTTCCTCTCTCGAAGGTATCCTCTGAGGCCAGCTTTCGTAAAAGGTTCAAGTAGGGGGTCTCATTTTCTTGGCTATTTTAATTTTAGCAACTTATTGTACGGTGCTGCTAATTACACTTATAACTTTCTTCTGCAATTTTTCAGAATCACTGGCATCTGAATGCTCCTGCCATGCCTTCTATGTGATCTGCAGATGGACCGGGAACAAACAGGTGGAATCGTGAAGTCAGGCTTCCAAACAAACTCCCAACTTCGCGAACATTTAGTGGAATGTCACGCTAAATTCGTGGCTCGTGCCCTACTCGCTCCTAATGTCATCAACAAAACGCATTTTTGGCTCCTCACCAACATTGCTTATCATAGTGAAGTTCATTTTTTTTCAACCTTTTTTTAATTTGTTGTAATGACCAATCAAAGTACAACACTGCTCGGGATGTAACTATATCTGTTAGATCTCTTAATAAACGGGATGTGACATATGCAAGCTTTTGGGGGAAAACTTGACTCTTAGCATTAGTTGTTAAAGATCAATTACTATTGAGGCATATGTTTTCAAATCTATGAAGTATTGCCGCGAATAAAATATTTGCAGAATGTGGAAGACGACTTTCTCTGTGACACTTTCGCAGAGACGACGTTGGAATCCAGCAAACAATTGTCAGTAAGTCTCATAAATATATCTATGTAACTTTATGCAAGAAAACTGCAATAGGCTATGTTCAATTTCTTACAGGTATCTCAAAGTGATAATGATGATGAGTCTTGTCTGGATTCACAAAAACGGAAATCTTCAGAAGGTGACGATCCTGGAGAAATTGATTTCCAGCCCAGAGCAAAGCGATCTACAAGCTTTGTGAGGATTTAAACGTTTTTCTAGCTTGTATGGGACGATCATCCATGTTGATTCATTCAGAGAAGCAAACTTCTTTATACGGCTGCAAAAAATATGGCGCACCGTGGTGTTATTTCCTCTCCTCTTTCGAGAATAGCTGATCTGGCGTAACTTATCTTAGGTGGCACATTTTCACATAAGTGAGTATTTCGAAGGAGGGAAAAACGAAGAATCAGTGATTAGGCTATGCTATAATT